TTTACCTGACCTCTAAGACACAAAGACCCTGTTAACTCACTGTTACATTCCTGTGTCATGAACTCTGACCCCACGTTTGTTTGTGTGTCAGATAACATTAAAATCTGAACCATCTATACAGAACATGCTAGAGGAGTTAACATTCTCAAGAACCAGTTCTCATTAACTGTAATTGCATGGAAAAGAGTGAATAGAACATCCACCAAAATGTTTCCTTTTGTGTCCCAAGGAGGATAGTCAGACAGGTTTGAAGAACTTCAGAGAGAACTGTGAGCGTGTTATTTAGAATGCATGACTGGGTGTGCGATTGGGAGTGTCATTTGAGTGCATGATTGTGAGGGTGTTGTAGCATTGTAAGCATGTGTGTGATTGAGTGATTGTTAGAGTGAATGATTGTGAGCATATATGTGTTTGTGTGATTGTGAGTGCCTGGTTGAGAGAGTATAAGTGGGATGCATGTGTCTGACTGTGGAAATGATTTTAAGTGTTTGATTGTGACTGTGTGTGAGTGTTTGTGATTGTGAGCGTCAGATTTCGAGTGTGCACCTGTGTGGTCGTGAGTGTTTGTGTGATTGTGAATATAGGTGTATTTGTTTGATTGTTAATGTCTGATAGTGAGAATGATTGTTATGTGATTGTAAGTAAGTGTGTGTGTGTGTGTGTGTGTGTGTGTGTGTGTGTGTGTGTGTGTGTGTGTGTGTGTGAGATGGTGAGCCTCTGATTGTGAGTGTGTGCGTGCAATTTATTGAGTGTTTGATTGTGAATATCTGATTGTGAGCGTGATAATGAGCATGTGCTTTTGAGAGTGTGTGTGTGTGTGTGTGTGTGTGTGTGTGTGTGTGTGTGTGTGTGTGTGTGTGTGTGTGTGATTATGCAAGTATGTGCAAGGACGTTATGCTATGGTGAATGTGTGTATGTGTGTGTATTTGAGAAAGAATTTCTGAAAGGGTTAATTGTGTCTGCGTGTGTGTGTGTCTTATAGGCTGATTGATAGTGTCTGACTGCAACAATAATTGTGAGCATGTGATTTTGAGTATTTGTGAGATTGGGAGCGTGTATTTTCTGTGTGTTTCAGGGTATGTTTACACGACAACGATATGCTTAAAACGGAGCAGTTTTTCCTGAGTTTTCCGCATACAAGCGTTGTCAAAACGATCCCCATTCACACGTATCCGCAAAAACGCAAAAAAAAACATAATACGCATGACATCATCGTCTTCAGAGATTTGCGATTTTGTTATTTACATTAAGACCGTTTTCAAAAACTTGCACTTTGAAACCCATTTTCAAAAGTTTGCATTTTCAAGCACCCAAAACGGATAAAAAGTTGTATGCTTTTAGTTGAAAACGGTGTTGTGTAAACAGCCCCTTATTGCGCCCCTCTGAGAGTTTGTGAGCGTCTAATTATGTGATTGTGATAGTATGAGTGTGATGTATGAGAGTGTTTGATTATGGGTGTCTGATTGTGAGCATGTGTGTGTGATTGACAGATGCAATGCAATGGTGAGAGTGTGTATTTGTGTGTAGTTGAGAAAGAAGTTCTGAAAGGGTTAATTGTTTCTGTGTGTGTGTGTGTGTGTGTGTGTGTGTGTGTGTGTGTGTGTGTGTGTGTGTGTGTGTGTGTGTGTGTGTGTGTGTGTGTGTGTGTGTGTGTGTGTGTGTGTGTCTTATAGGCGGATTGATAGTTAGTCTGATTGCGAGAGTATTTGTGTGCATGTGATTTTTGTGAGATTGTGAAATATCTGATCATCCTCCATAACGCAGTTGCTATTTACAAATCATACGTCTGTAAACTTTTGCATTACCAAGGCAGTGACTGACGCATTTGTATTACAGTACACTCCAAAAGAGCGCTGTTATCAGCCCCACTGAAAAATGAAAACATATCCGCACCGGCTAGGCTGGGTTGGCACGGGATGGAGCGGTTAAGCAAGCGAACGGTTTAGCAAGCAAACGGTTTGGCTCGATGGTGGAAAAGCTATAGTTATAACTATATGTATATATATTAGGGCTGTCAAAATAACGCGTTAATTTCGATTAATTAATCTGAGAAGAAATAACGCGTAAAAAAAAATAACGCAGATTAATCCATTCCGTTTTGACCTTTGCGGAGCCGTTCCATTCGTGTAAAAAGAAGGAGGGAGACAAGAACGCGCTGCTTGGATCATTGTTTGGAACATTTACTTATAACAAACAGAGTTCGTCAACTCTAAAGTACCACATCAATGCAAAGCATCCAGGAGTGTGTGCGTGAGTCGGTGAGGGTGTCTGAGAGAAAGCGCGCTTGTGTGTGTGTGTGTGTGTGTGTTGTAACTTTTCACACGCTCTCACGTCACACAACCATTTTCTCACGCACGAAAAAAATCGCGCTCCAAAGAGAGGACACGGAAACAGACAAGACAGACGTTATTATGATATTTAAAAAATCTCAGCTCTCAGATTTTGTCAATTTTATTACGAAAATCAAACAATAAATACCGTTGGCGCTTGTAAATGTGACATGACAGATCCCTATAGCGGCACGTGAACCGATCATCTCTAGCTAATAGTAAATAAACACTAATGAACAATGTTGAAAGATACAGTAGGGCAGCATAAAACTTACCGAAATGTATATTCCTCGATCAATCAGTGTTTTTCAACCGCGAAAAGAGGTCAATAAAACAGCTGGAGAACAATTATGTCACATAACATTTAACCTAAGTTACCTCAGGAAAGACATTTCATGACCATATGATAGCACGTTATAGTTGGCTATAAAAAAAGAGCTATAGAGAGTGTTTTTCTAAATTTATGTAGCCTACTACTATATTACATATCTATTATATTTTTACTTATATCAAAGTTGTTCTTTGTAATAAACACGCATTATATTTAATTTGAGCTATTTTTAACCTTAAATACTAACAGCTGATATGGCTCTCTGTATTTTTACAGCATTGGGTGAGATTTTTTTTTTCTTGAGAAAAATGAATGCCTATCTTGTGTACCTAATATTTATCCAAATGAGTCAATATTGCATCAAATCACAAGAATTAAATTAAATTGAAATCGTGAAATTCGTGTCAAGCAATAATAATAAAAACGTAGCTTACCAGAAATTGTACCATGTAAACATTGTAAGATTGTGTATGCGATTAATTTAGATTAATTAATTACAGAGTATGTAATTAATTAGATTAAAAATTTTTATCGATTGACAGCCCTAATATATATATACACTCACCTAAAGGATTATTAGGAAGACCATACTAATACTGTGTTTGACCCCCTTTCGCCTTCAGAACTGCCTTAATTCTAGGTGGCATTGATTCAACAAGGTGCTGAAAGCATTCTTTAGAAATGTTGGCCCATATTGATAGGATAGCATCTTGCAGTTGATGGAGATTTGTGGGATGCACATCCAGCTCCCGTTCCACCACATCCCAAAGATGCTCTATTGGGTTGAGATCTGGTGACTGTGGCGGCCATTTTAGTACAGTGAACTCATTGTCATGTTCAAGAAACCAATTTGAAATGATTCGAGCTTTGTGACATGGTGCATTATCCTGCTGGAAGTAGCCATCAGAGGATGGGTACATGAATAATAATTCATTACATTTATATAGCGCTTTTCTAGGCACTCAAAGCGCTTCACATGGAAGGGGGAATCTCCTCAACCACCACCAATGTGCAGCATCCACCTGGATGATGCGACGGCAGCCATAGTGCGCCAGAACGCTCACCACACACCAGCTTACTGGTGGAGAGGAGACAGAGTGATGAAGCCAATCAGTGTATATATATATATGGGGATTATTAGGAGGCCATGATGGACAGAGGCCACTGGGCAAATTTGGCCAGGATGCCGGGGTTACACCCCTACTCTTTCGAAAGTCATCCTGGGATTTTTAATGACCACAGAGAGTCAGGGCCTCGGTTTAACGTCTCATCCGAAGGACGGTGCTCTTTAACAGTATAGTGACCCCGTCACTATACTGGGGCCTTAGGACCCACACAGACCACAGGGTGAGCGCCCCCTGCTGGCCTCACTAACACCTCTTCCAGCAGCAACCTGGTTTTCTCAGGAGGTTTTTTACAAGGTTTTTTGGTGGCCATAAAGGGATGGACATGGTCAGAAACAATGCTCAGGTAGGCCGTGGCATTTAAACGATGCCCAATTGGCACTAAGGGGCCTAAAGTGAGCCAAGAAAACATCCCCCACACAATTACATCACCGCCACCACCACCAGCCTGCACAGTGGTAACAAGGCATGATGGATCCATGTTCTCATTCTGTTTACGCCTAATTCTGACTCTACCATCTGAATGTCTCAACAGAAATCGAGACTCATCCGACCAGGCAACATTTTTCCAGTCTTCTACAGTCCAATTTTGGTGAGCTCTTGCAAATTGTAGCCTCTTTTTCCTATTTGTAGTGGAGATGAGAGGTACCCGGTGGAGTCTTCTGCTGTTGTAGCCCATCCGCCTCAAGGTTGTGCGTGTTGTGGCTTCACAAATGCTTTGCTGCATACCTCGGTTGTAACGAGTGGTTATTTCAGTCACTGTTGCCCTTCTATCAGCTTGAATCAGTCGGCCCATTCTCCTCTGACCTCTAGCATCAACAAGGCATTTTCGCCCACAGGACTGCCGCATACTGGATGTTTTTCCCTTTTTACACCATTGTTTGTAAACCCTAGAAATGGTTGTGCGTGAAAATCCCAGTAACTGAGCAGATTGTGAAATACTAAGACCGGCCCGTCTGGCATAAACAACCATGTTCCTAACAGGTGTTCCTAATAATCCTTTAGGTGAGTGTATATACTGTGTATGACTATAGATAGTGTCTGATTGCGAGAGTGATTGTGGGTGTGTTATTGTGCATGTTTGTGAGTGTTTGTTTGATTGTACATGATTGTGTGTGATTGCAAACATGCGACTGTCAGATTGTACATTGACCCATAATGCTCCTGATGGTTGGAGATTTCCAGAAAGCATGCGTATGATCTGTGGCGTTTTACCTGTGATGGTATGTGATGATAGCAGTCAGCGCTCTCACACAGATACGGTAACACATCAGGTGCACTGTTTCACTGAGAAAATTTTTCAACCTGCAAACACACACAGGGACGCATTAGCATCCATATTAAATCACACTCCTGAACAAACTTATAACTAACTTCCAAATATCTGACAATTTATTGGTCTCACAGATTGGTTCAGCACTAGTATAAAAGGCTTTTTTTATAAGTTTCTCACCTTCCATTGGGCAGAAGACCAATAATGGTGGTGAAGACAACCAATAGGCTTATTCCTGTGATTGCTAATGTTAGCCTGATAAACCAAAAAACAAGACATTTCAACTCAAACATTGGAACAATCATTACAAAATGTAACTAAAATCTTATATCACAATATGAGTCATTTTATTTCACGATAACGATAAATATTCTCTTCCGGTTGTAAAAATACAACTGGAAGAGAATACAATGCTGAATAAAGTCATTGTTTTTGTTCTTTTTGGACCAAAATGTATTTTCGATGCTTCAAAACATTCTAACTAACCCACTAATGTCACATGGACTACTTTGATGATGTCTTTATTTCCTTTCTGGACAAGGACAGTATACCGTGTATACATTTTCAATGGAGGGACAGAAAGCTCGGACTAAATCTAAAATATCTTAAACTGTGTTCCGAAGATAAACGGAGGTCTTACGGGCTTGGAACGACATGAGGGTGAGTCATTAATGACATAATTTTAATTTTTGGGTGAACTAACCGTTTAATGCATAAAGACTGTGTGTATGAGGATACTTGAAAAGAGGGGCATTTGAAACATAAGTGTGTGTATATTGGACCGTTTAAGCCCAAAGAGTTCAGTACTAGCACGCGTTTCAGGTGTGTGGTCAGACAAGCGCGCGTATATACAGATAGCATAAGCATATAGTCCTCTTTTGCTGCTTACTGCGCTTAAACCATAGGTTCTCAAAGTGCGGCCCGCGGGCCAATGGCGGCCCGCCGAAACATTTCTGGCGGCTCGCGATAACATCTGTAAAACTGTTAAAACTATTGCTTTGAAAAAATGAATATCTCCGTTTAGTGGTGTTTAGCGGCATCCATAGGCATAGGCGGTAATTACACGGTCCGACCGACCGATCGCACTTGACCTCACTCCCAAGGCCACCAGGAACAGTGGTTGTCTACACAGGAATAGGAATCGTGGCCAACCGAAACCAGCACCACAAATCCCATTGCAATTTAAAAGGGTATGTTGACCAAGTAATCAATATTCAATGTGACTTAAAGGAGTCATAATGTGCAATTTTCACTTTTCCACGAGAATCAATGTATGTTATGATTGACTAACGATTATACATTTGCCGGGATGCCGATATTCAAAAGTGAAGCGTTTGTTTACCCCAGGGTTCTTAAACTAGCCAACGTGCACGCGCACTCAAGTACGAGATTTCAATTTCTCCCCCGACATGACGTCAAGACGGGGCCGGATATACCATATATGGACACCGCAGAGGAGGCCCGCCCTGCCCCTCTCCCCATCATATTCAGTCAAGAAAGATGCAAGAACGTAGTGCACACGTGAGTTGCTCTGTGGTTGACTGTCATAATCCACATTCTAATGTTTTTTCTTTACCCAAAACTGACCAAACTACAAGGGACAAGAGGATGAAATTTATTTTTAATGACGCTGTTCCAACAACCATCTCAACTTGCTCAACGTTAGGTGTCTGCGCTAAACATTTCACAAAAGAATCTTTTACAAATTTGGGGCAATATCAGGCGAAGTTGGCATCGAAGCTACGTTTGGAAAAAGGTGCCATTCCAACAATCAGGGACTTGCCTGAATTTGAAACGGTAAGACTGTGTTTTTATTACTATATTTTGTGTAACAAACAGCAGCTAACTACTAATGCGGTTAATGTATGTGATAAGGATAGATACATTTAAAAAACAGTCAAGAATTAATAAACATAAAGAAAAACATAACGTTACATGTCTGCAGATGAAAATGATTAAATATCTAAAAAACCACAACGTCAAAAAAGGCAAAAACAACACATTATAGCAAACGTTAATCTCTATAACCACTGTAAGCTGAAAATAAAGTAGACTACATCTCCGTTAATGTAATCTACATTAAATTAAAGGTAAACTTATGTGGGAGAAAATAGCAAAAAAAACGTTTTAGCTCGTTACTGATGTTAATGTATGTCTCAGTCAAAAAAATTGTCTTTACCATTCAGAGACATGTTGATGTAGACGTCCTTCAATTGACTGTTGTTCCTCTTCCGTTTCCAGCTCTGGTTCAGAGTCTGGCTCAAACATATACGGTTGAATCCCGTAGGTCGCGGCCAGGTCGGGTTCATTAACAACTTGCGCCATGATCTCTTTTTGGAATGATATGCTGAAGTTACCTGCGGTGTCAAGCCCCCTCCTTCCTACCACCAATCAACGCGCCCCTCATTTGCATTATTAAAATGACCGTCCACGACAGCCAAAACCTCGCATCAGATCTCGCGAGACAATAATGCATTCAGAAATAAGGGTCAAACGAGCTCTGTGTTTATTTTTTTCCAATTTTTCTTTTTTAGAAGGGCATGAAATGACTATAATAGAGCGTGGGTATCAAAGTTAATACTACATTATGACTCCTTTAATAATAATCTTAACAATGTCAAGCTTATTAATAGCCGCGTTTCCATTACCTTTCAAAATGTTCGCGGGCGCGAACACTTGCATTTTCCTATCAACAGTGGAAACAACTTAAACTAGTCTATCATTTCTGGTCATACAGAAAATAATAATGCATTATTCGCAACTACTTTTATTTGTGTAAACTCAGTACAAGAAAACGTGCTTTTGTAAAATAAAATAAAACAATCAGTAGCCTACTACGCGCTTTCATGATCTCCGTGAACTGGAGCGCGAGAACTGAAACAAAATATAGCCTATGTAGGCTAAAGCTTAAAATGTGCACTTTTAAACAAACAAACTCGAATCGAAAGCAAATACCTGATTATGTAATCCGTATGAAAGGTGGATTTCTCTCTAAAAGAGCATCTACTTAACAGCGGAGATGGAGATATGCTTTTAGCCGACACTTAGAAAACAATAGTTTATTAATAAACAATTAAAATGCCTCGCTGTTTTTTCAGACGCATTTATTATCATTAGCCTATAACTCACCTATAAATCAGGCTAGATCAGACACGTACAGGCTATATGGCTCTTCTCATTCATCACTGCGGGAAAAATATAAATTCCAGGTTCTAATTTGGCCTTAGAAAACCAGTAAAATCGACATGTTTTCCATATTAATTTGTGAATATTTAAAATGTTTAATAAAGGGGCAAAAGTCATTTAAACAAAAATCTGAAAAAGTCTGTCGATATTTACTTTTTTTGCGCAGCAGTTGGTGAAGCCAGTTCGAATTAAAATTTTGTTCAACTTTGCGTTTTAAAAAGACAACAACCGTTCATTTTTCGTTTTTCAGTTACGGGTTAAAAAAGATAGATAATAATATGCAAATCTGCAATAATGGAAACGCGACTGACAAGCAATGATAGAAATGAATGATGATGATGACTTGTTTGGTAAGCTTCTATTTTAAAAGTTTCTTTCTCTCCCCCCAAAAATTTTCACAAGTTTTGCCAGGTTTAGCCTCACAGTTATGAATTAAAATGTGTTTATTGCAACTAATGTAAACTGTAGAGATGCAACCTGGTCATTAAAATAATTTCAAATGGGATTTTCTTTTCAGTTTTTTTTTCTTCGTTTTCTCCCCCGCCACTTTGGCGGCCCTCAGTTCAATGTTGGGTTCCTAAATTGGCCCTCACCTATCAAAACTTTGAGAACCCCTGGCTTAAACGGTTTAAAATTACTACTTGTTTTAAAACCGCAAGGCTTAAAAACACATTCATACGATACGTTTTTGTGAAGGAGCAGCACGGCAACACCACATGACCGTAACCGCGATAGAGACGATACTCCAAAATCTCTACCGGTTGACAAATTTCTACCAGTTAATCGTGTCTACCGGTATTAGAATTGGAATCGATAAGTAGAATCGGAATTGATTCATTTTCAAACAATACCCACCCCTACTGGAATTTGCCACAGGTCCAATTCAAACCTACATTCACATCAGTTATATGATATGATCATAACTCCAGGAGCACATGCACTACCCACTGCACCATAACTTTGACCTAATGGATTCAGTTGTGCAATTAATCGCACATACCCAGGTGGGCACATCTGATTAAACAGAGCTCAGATATCAGGCACTCTTCCTCATCTCAAATGTGCACACAGGATGGTGAAGTGTTTCTATTAAGAGATGTGGGTTAAGGCCATTGCCCTGACTGACATTAATCCTACAGAAGCTCCATATGGCCCTGAGGGGCAGCAGAATTAGCCTGTATTTTAAGACACTAAATTCAGACTTGTGTGCCAAAGCAGAGCAAATGTCTCAGAATGGACTGATTAGAATGATGTCAAATTATAACATCAGCCAACCAAAACTATTATTTAATATTTATTCTGACAGCACTCTACAAAGCCATTAAAAGTGTACAAGTGCTGCAGAATTATTTTCTTTTCTGTTTTGCTATATTACATACAGTGGACCTCTAATAGTTAATAATGTACCAAACAATACCATATACCTTTTATGTATTTTCCATAGACATGTAAATGAGAGTAACAGCAGTGCCCTCTGCTCCTTTCTTCATGAAGCAGCCGTTTCTAATTTGAATACTTTTTTTGTTATTCATACTGTGTAAACATACTGTGGCAGTCAACGCTCAGTCAGGGCAATAACATAATAATTAGTTGTATACCAAGGTTTTACTTTGCACACCGAGGTACTTCAAAGATAACCAAGGCACTACCATGGTACATGTACAAAAAGATAATATTAGCATGGTACATGTGTCAAAAAACAATGGTAATACCACAGTACCTCAAGCATTTTAGTACTTGTTTGTTGTTAGCATTGGCCTCATTTTATTAATTATTATTTTAGAATTTTTCTCGCTAATCTTCACATTTGATTACTCCATAAATAAGGGTTTATTTGTATTATTTTACTAGGGATGCACAATATATTGGTATCACATTCATTAGTATTATCAAAATGAGAGATTGGAAACATACCTGCCAATATTGGATATTTATATTAGTAATTTCATAACATTGTCAAATATAATGTTTGGTAAGCCTCAAAATGAAAATCCATTTTTCATACTGTACATTAAAACGAAGTGATGTAAAAATTACTTGAATTTAGTGATTACTTGATAACTTTGATTTTAGTATGTTTATTTTAGTTAGACAAAACACCATAGAATTATAATATCAGCCATTTATGGGTTATTGGCCATAAAAAGAAAATAATAATTAGCATCAGCCTGCATTTTAATATCTCGGACTTTTATCGAGCCCCATTTTTCTTCTTGCTCACCTGAGGGGCAACAGGAACCCATAACGGATGATGACGCCAAAACCCCACAGCACTGTCAGTCTGGTGCTAATGTGCTGGAAGTTGTAGTTGCTCCTGGTCAACAGGTTCCACGACTCAAGTTCTTCTGCCGAGAAACATTTGGTAACCTCATCATCTACGATGCTTTCAATGCCACGGCGGCAAAAGTAGAAGGTGTCTGACATTTCAAACTCTGATGAGGAAGGGGAGGGGCCTGTGGTGGTGGAGGCGGATGCATCAAACTCTCGACTGCTCCCGTTTCGCCGAATCTCTTTGAGCTCATCTTCCAGTGATGTAGGTTCTTTAGCGATAATGCCTGAGATAAAATGACAGTGTCATACAGTGTCTTTGTGAAGAGCAAAATTTAGGACATTATATAACAGAGCACATAATGTCACAGTCTAGAGCGTAAATAAATACATTTTGAAGAGAGTGGATTCTGGAATGTCTATCTAATGAGTGATTATAATCAAGGTATAAATCAATATTTTTCCTTCTAAATATCAAATGAGTTGAATGACTTCTCTAAGCTTATGAGATTTTACTTAGTTATAGAAGTTACCAGTGTGATTACTGAAATGTTCTTTTCATGTTTTCTTTAATGTCCATATTAAATATCTGAGCTCATGCCAGGATTGAAGTAACAGTGTTTGCTCATTTAGCCCGGCTTCCAGAAAGGAAATATGGATTTGTTTTGTTTGAGAAAGGTCTTCAACGTGTTAAAACATATATCTGTTCTTCTAGCTCACCATGACTATAGGTCACAAGGGTCATTGGAACCAATAGTTTAAGTGACCATTTCTTAGCATTTACTTTCCTGTTCTATATTAAAGTGTCCTCTCATTGAGAGAAAGAACATGTTATCTTGATGTTTTGGGAAGAATCTCCTGTTTATAGTTAGAGCCCGACCAAATCCAACCTTGAAGAAGCTGTGTGTCTAATTGTGTGTTAGTATTCTTGGTTACAGGCTAAGGAACAAGTGGCATTATTGGAGATTGACTGACTTGTTTTCTTCGACATGCTGGCGTCTAGACACAGTCTTTCGAGCTCGGAGGGCCATTCGTACCTAACACAGGGTCCTGGTGGCAGCCGTACAGACTGTGGAGATGTGCTTCTGCCTATCAGTCCATGTGTGGAAATTTACTATGTTTATCTATTTCTTAGCCAATCAGAATCATTCAACCTGAAGCAATGACGTAGCTTAGACCTTGGTGAAGGGTATAATTGCTCTGATCTTTGTAACTGTAACAGGGCGGCCTATGAACTCCTTGTGAGTCTTGAAGCTGACTTCTGCCTGATGAAACTGCAAAATATCTTCAGTAAAACTTTTCTTTAATTTATTATAATATTGACTCTTGTCTTAAATTGACTGCACTTCTAACTCCTGGTCTTAATGAATCATATCTGGGTCATGGGTCTTTAACTGTAAATTTCCCTAATAATTTGTAAATAAATAAATTCTTTGAATCAAAAAAAAAAAAAAAAAATTAAAACATTATATAATGACGTGCAACAACTCAAGCAAATGCAAACACAAGCAAATGGGACACAAATGTAGTGTGACCGCAATTAATTGTTGCCTGATCCTTCTGTGGATAGGTCAACTGACAAAAACAACCACGTCCTGTGAGATCAACCAAACACAGGAGACACACCGAAACAAGCAATGTCACTCAGATTAACAAGCAGATGAGCACACAGGAGCAATAGATTTTTCCCATAGGTGTAATTGTACAGTGTTTACTTACTATTAAGACTGTAAGGCTTGTACAGAAGATGGTTTTTCTCCTTGGCTCCTCTTTCCATCCTCACTGTGGCCCACTGGAAAACAAAGAAAGAAAAACTCAAACTCAATTTAATGTTATCACTGCAACATACTATTTAGTTAAGAATTATCTTAATTAGTAAAGATTTACTAAATAATTAGGGGTGATCTTAATATTTAATTGTATACAAATACATCTATTATTTAAAATATTTATATTCATATTTAACTCTCTGATCATGCATGAAAAATCTAATTATGGGGGAAAATATCTAGTATGTTATATAGCAGATAATGTGTCGTCAGCCAGTCATTAATAAATAATAAACCGCAAAATAAATCAGTTATACTTCCTCTGTGGATTACATCATAATGGCCCTTAAAATAAAACTGCCTATTTCGCGATTTGAAAACACATTGAGGTGGACTGCAGCACAGACACACACACACTGAATGTTCCCCTAAGGAACAACAAGCACTTTATTGAAAAGCTGTGGGAGGAGGAATAATGTCAGCATGTTAATTCAGGCATGTGGAGCACACAATACACACAACTGACTTGCACTGAGAATCAGTAAACACTGAGGGGCTGGTGTTGATATCTTGCAAAAATTACCACAGGTTTTGCTTGAACTTCAATGCTTCAATGTCATATTTTGAACCAAGGATTCTTCTAATATGTAATACTTTGAGGTTAAGGACAGAATGTACACGTCACAATTATCATAATGTTGTTCCTGGTGCTCAAGGGACAGTAAAACTTTCCAATCTAAGGGTACGTTTGTTTCAACAACAATGATGTGCTAAAAACGGTGCTAAAAGTTTTTCTTTTGCGTTTTTTGCATACAGACGATAATATTGTCAAAATGATCCCCGATCACACAGATCCGCGAAAATGACTAAAAACGCTTTATGCCTGCCAGGCCAGTAGTTGGCGATGTCACTTTGTAAAGAAACACGCGCCCATAGACTGAATAGGTATACACGTTATACATGTTTTTGTAGTTTAAACAGAGACGATAACGGTATCATTTTTAAAAACTTGAACTTTGAAACCCTTTTTCAAAAGTTTGCATTTTCAAGCCCCCTGTAAAAATGAACTGCCAAAATGCATACAAAGTTTAAAGTTGAAAATGGTGTTGTGTAAACGGCCCCTAAATGTGCAGCTCAAACTGTTTAGATGTTTGTTTCTAAAGCTGGGATGCTTCAGATTCTGCAGAGTGTAGGTGCTACACACAGCAAGGAATACCACTTTTTAGCATTTAAATTAAATTTGACTCTTTCTGTCAGGACCACTATCGTCAAATACGATTGACAATTAGCATACAGTTTGGATTGGCGGTATGGTTCTGTTCTGGGCAAGAACTCCCTGCGGATCCATGCAGCCTAGCATGGATAAGAGCAGGGAGAGCAGCAATAACCCCCCTTAGGGTAAACAGAACAAAACCAATATGAATGTATTGCAGATATCATTAATTAATAAAGATTTTAATGTTCAACATAATTCGAGAATTTATTCTGATTCAAAGGGAATCAGAATGCCATCCTGACTGACGAGAGGAGGAGCTGGGGATGGAGGAGGGTAATTAGCCCCTGAGAACGCGATAGCTGCTGATAATACTGAAGGAGCTTATATATGTATACAGTGATAGGCGTTGTATTCCTATAATATCAGCTGATGCGAGCTTGACTAACGTGTCAAACCTGCCAGAACTGACGCTACCTACGCTTAATTATTATTCATTTTTATCTGGTGTCCAACAATAGTATCTATCGTACTTCACCGTTACTAGGTTGGCCAAGTTGCATCACTGACATGTAAATGTGACAAATTTAATAGCTTTTAATAGCTGAATGATGTTTAAAGAGCACCTATTATGCAAAATTCACTTTTACATAGTGTTTGAACATAAATGTGTGTTGGCAGTGTGTGTACACAACCACCCTATAATGATAAAAGTCCACCCAGTGCTTTTTTTGAAAAATCCCCATAAATCATAAGCACTGTCTCAGAACAAGCCGTTCTCAGATTCGAGGCAGTGTGACATAGATTTGCACAAGCCCCTCCAATGGCTGTTGATTGACACTGCAGTTTTAGCATAGACCCGCCCTGAGTGAGCTAAACACAGTCCACCATACTCTCGTTGTTACTCGAGGATGGATCTGTACTGTTTGTGATCCAGCTTACAGTCTCCGGAGCGATAGGCCTAACGTTACTGGTCACGGCAGTAATGGAAGGGAGAGCGCGCAATTTATTACAGTTCATTTGAGTCGTTTTACGGATATTAAGTTTACTACTGAGAGTTTGTTTTGATATTATCATTCCGTGAGATGAGATTGTCCTGGCACTGAAGTGTGAGCTTGTGAGGCTCCGCCCTCTGTGCCGGCAGCAGCAGCTCATTTGCATTTAAAGGGATACACACTAAAACGGTGCGTTTTTCTCAGCCCCAAAAAGTTACAATTTAAACATGCTGTAAAAGAAATTCTGTTGGGTATTTTGAGCTAAAACTTCACATACACACTCTGGGGACATCAGAGACTTATTTTACATCTTGTGAAAAGGGGCATAATAGGTGCCCTTTAATACCCAAATAACATGTTATTTCAAGCATTTCTCTGCGTAACTGAACCCGTTTATTTAAGGATTGTGGGAAGTCACTCGTTTGCAGAAGACCCATAGTGTCAGGCAGAAAAAAGAAAGCCACACGCAGTGAGATTGCACATCAGTTACATAACTGCTTCAGACGGATGTGAGGTAATGTTGAAATAAATCAACCACAGCTGGAGTGAAGCAGCCCCTCAGCTCTTCACTGCAACTCCACGCCTGTCTATAAACTATTTATGATTATGATATATATAGGGGGGAAAGTGTCAGCCAAAGAAAAACAAATCAGACATTTTTTAGAAACATTAACCAGATGTGCACTTGAGCAACATGTCCTCATCATCCAGATCTCATTTCTTGTACCTGGCCTCTTACTTACACAGAAATGGTGTTCATACTTCCTGTAGGTTCAGGACCAATAAAAAATATTCAGTGAACTCCCAACTCCATTTACATCACACCTTCGCACATATATATTCAAACGCGCATACCTATCCACTGAACACGTGATGCGCATGTGCACGCCATCTGCGTTTTCGCAGGTTTGCGTTTTTGAGGTTTGCGCAGAGAAAACGGATAAACGTTTGCCCCTTCGAACCTATTATAGGGAGCGAGTTCGAGACACCAGGCACTGTTTTGTGCGGATGGGCGGCCGGCACGTTAAGGGTTTTTCTGTTAAAACGGTGTCGTGTTAGCGGCCCCTAAGTTAATATCTAATGATCGTTTGCCCCTTCGACCCTATTTCAGGGAGTGAGTTCTCGAGACACCAGGCACTGTTTTGTGAAAAATCAGCTCAAAGTTGTATTTCTGAGTATTTCTACATTCAAATGGCTGTGAATCAGTAGCAGACGCTAAAATGCTGGCTAAAATCGACTGGAGTTGTGACGTAGTAACTCCACTGGGCGTCTCCACACGCGACGTCTTGGAGTGAAATAATGATCGGTGATAACTTTGATTAACTTCGGATAATAATAATTAACGTGTATATAATACTGTTGCCCCACCGGCATTGGGGATGTAAGCTAGCGGGAGAGACAGAGCTCTCAGCAACGGGCAGGGGGAGGGTCGTCTCCGTGCCAACGGCTCCGCCCACAACGCAGAGGCGAATTGCTAATGAGCTACTGCCGCTCTGCTGAAGCGAAGTCCCAGAAAACGGCACAGGTTTTGTGATTTTGGCTAAAAATGGCATAATCATAATTTAAAGACCACTGGGAATGTTTAAAAATAGCTCAAAATATGATCGGAGTGGGACTTTAATAACTAATGATCTTCACAACGGAAGTAAATCAATCGAGACAATCTTTAGCTGGACAATAACTTTATCCTAGAGCTGTGGTAAAGCCTAAACAATTTGTTACGGTAATTTCTATTATCACTGTAAAGCTGCTTTGAAACAATCCATACTGTTAAAAGACTTGACAAGATGACCAGAATAGAATAAGACTATGAATATGCAAAACATATCAATTCCTCCTCTCTTCCTTCTCTGTTAATGTCTCTACTGCTAAAAAAGACTTACAACCACAACAAAATTAACAATACATCTGATTCTCGCATGCTTTTCAAAACCTTCTCCTCTCTTCTTAACCCTCCTCCTCCTTCATCAACCCTAACAGCTGACAATTTTGCCACATTCTTAATAAATAAAACCACCACCATCAGCTGCCAATTTTCCAAACCACAATTTGACACACGCATCTTACCAGCTAACACACACATTCTGCCTTCCTTTTATCCGCTCCCGGAGGCAGAAGTCTCAAAACTCATACTTTCCAATCACCATACAACCTGTTCGCTTGATCCTATCCCCACTCACCTCCTTCAAGCCACTTCTTCTTCAGTTGTACCCGCACTTACTCACATCATCAACACCTCTCTTCACACTGGTACATTTCCTACAGCTTTTAAGCAGGATCGGGTAACCCCACTACTTAAGAAACCCACTCTAAATCCAGCACATCTATAAAATTACAGACTGATATCCCTTCCTCCATTCATTGCTAAAACACTTGAACCAAGTCTCCACCGTTCTTGCACAGAACAACCTCCTGGACAATAACCAGTCTGGTTTCAAAAGCGAACACTCAACTGAGACTGCCCTGCTCTCGGTTATTAAAGCTCTGAGACTGGCAAGAGCAGCTTCCAAATCCTCAGTACTCATCTTGCTGGATCTGTCTGCTTCTTTTGACACAGTTAACCACCAGATCCTCCTGTCAACCCTCAAGACAAAGGGCATCTCAGGAACTGTGGTTCAATGGTTCAAGTCTTACCTCTCAAGTGGGTCCTTCAGGGTGTCGTGGATAAGTGAGGTGTCTAAGTCGCAACATCTATCTACTGGGGTGCCTCAGGGCTCAGTGCTTGTACCACTTCTCTTCTCAAGCTACGTGTCATCACTAGGATCTGTCATTCAGAAACATGTTTTTTCCTATCACTGCTATGCTGATAACACAG